AAAGCACCCCGTCCCCTCAACAGCACGCCATAGTCCAGCTCCCTCTGCATCACCTCCTTCGTATAAAACCCTGAACCCCCATCCCCCCTCTCACCAGCACGCCGTGGTCCAGGTCCCTGCCGCACTCCTTGTCGTCAAACACGCCGCCCATGTAGAGCTGGAAAGCCCGCTGGTCCGCCTCGATCGCCACAGACACGGGCTGCTGGGACACGGCCTTCTTGAGGGCAATCTGGTGTGTATATGTGTGTTTGCATGGCCGTGACATCATGTGTATGCGTGTGTGTGTGGGGGGGTCATGTGCGTGAGTGCGCACGTGCACGTGTGTGTGTGTGTGTGTGTGTGTGTGTGTGTGTGTGTTGCTGTGGCATCATGCGTGTGTGCGCGTGCGCGTGCGTGTGGACACAGCCATCCCCACGCGGGCGTGCATGCGCGCATGTGTGTGTGTGTGTGTGTGTGTGTGTGTGTGTGTGTGTGTGTGTGTGTGTGTGTGTCGCGGCCAAAGGGCGCCCACTTCCAAGCACACCGCGAACCGCACCCCCCCACCCTGCAACCCCACGCGCCCACGTGCCCGCGCGACCCCACAGCCGCCGCCGCGCTCCCGAGCCGCGGCGTCGGACGCCGCACCCACGGCGCCCAGTACGCGCGCTTGTTTTCGCACGTGCGTGTTCACTCTCTCTCACTCTCTCTCACTCTCTCGCACGCGCACCTCGCTGAACTGTGGCACGTCCTGGTATCCGTCGATGGTGACGAGCTGCACTGGGCCGTCCTTCTCGTCGCTGCACTCGCCGTCCTCGCCTGGCAGGATGTGTGTGTGTGTGTGTGTGTGTGTGTGTGTGTGTGTGTGTGTGTGTGTCATGTTGAGCAGGGACTGGCGGGTGCGCACAGAAACCTGCCCATCAGCTGGGACCTAGCTTCGTCATTACGCAGCCCCTCCACACGCGCGCGTGCCGCACGCCACAGCGCAGGGCGCGCAGCGTTCCGCCCTCTGAGGGGGCTCAGGCGTTCCCAAGCGCCCGGCTGGTCCCATCGGCCCCCCTCCCTCCCTGCAGAGATGGATGCGGGTGGCCCCGCCGCCCACCTGTGTAAGGGTAGTCCTTCTCCAGCTCGATGCCGCCGTGCTCCTTCACAAACTCAAAGGCGTAGTCCATCAGGCCGCCCTGGGGCGATGTCACCGGGTGACATCATCGGGTGACGCGGGGTGACACGACGGGGGGCGGGGCAGCGTCAATCGATCGTCAATCCACCAGTCCTGCTGAAAACAGACAACACTGCACCCCCCGGATCCCTCAACCAGAAAATGTGCTGACCTGGCAGCCCGAGTCCTGCGCCTTGTCGCAGTCCACCAGCTCCTGCTCGCTCAGTGACAGCAGGCCGCCCGTGACGATCTTGTTGATGCCCTCGATGGCGCCCGTGGTGGAGAAGGCCCAGCAGCTGCCGCACTGCGCGGACGCGGGACGGAAGGTGTTGGGTGCGCAGCCGGCCGGAGGGCGTGAGGGGGGCCGCACGCGCGTGCGCAGCGGCGCCCGGCGCGCGCGGGCACGATGCGCGGCAACCCTCTGGATATCTGATGGAGGAGCAAGGACGAGACTCCCACTTCGATTGAGGTGCGCGCCTCCGACCGCCGCCCCGACCAGCTCCGGCTTCGACCTGCTCCCGCTCCACGTTTCACCCCGGCCTGCTTCTGCTTCCAACCTCAAAGCACCTCCCCGGCCCGCCGCCGCGCCCCAAACTAACTGCCACCCACCGCCATCTGGTTCTTGACTTCCGCCACTGCGCCCTTCTCGCGCCAGTCAATGGCCTCGGGCAGGTCAGACAGCGCCAGATCCCCATGCTTGAAACCGGGGATGCGCGCAGAGCTGCCGACGCGCTTGAACCTGCGGGGTGCGAGGGGTGGGGTGGGGGTGTCGGACGCTGCGCGTTTCAAGCTGGGGCGGCGGCGGCGGCGCGCGCGGGCTCATCGAGGGTGCTCAGCGTCTACGCTGTGGAGAGGCCGCAGGGAGCCGGGTGCGGCACGGGGGGTGGGGGGTGAGGGCGAGGCGCGCCTTGGGGAACCGAGGCCGTAGCGCTGGCGGTACTCCTCGTGACTCAAATCAGCGAGGGAGTTGAGTCCGACCTGCATGGGCATGGGTGTGGGTTGCCGCGCCGCAGATTGTCGGGCCGATATTCTTTAAACCGCGCGGGATCCAAGAAGGACGTGGCGGGTTTAAGCGGGCGACGTCGGCTTGGGTGTGCCGCCTCCTGCTGGTTGGCGCGCGCGTTGCGCCCCTCCCGCGGGCCCGCGCGACGCACCCAATGGGAGGTGTGCTTGGCGTTGTATTCAAGAGCAAACTCCAGGTTGGCCTGCCAGTTGCGGAAACGGGCCTCGACGGCCTGCCGAGGTGGCCGCAACGGATAAAGGATGCGGCGGCGTGATTACGGTCGGCAAGCAGTGCGCGGCACCCGGGCCGCAAGAGGGGCGCCGCGGCGCTGTTGCAGGGGATATGTGGGCCAGTGCATGATTTAGGCGTTCGTAAAGAGCAGCCAGAGCCCCGCAGCGTGGGGTAGGCGCGAATTACACCAAGGCATCTCGTGGTCCCGCCCGAAAAGCGCAGCTAGGGGCATACCTGCAGATCGTTGGACTGGGCGTACGGCTTTGCATGCTTGACCATCCATGCGCCAAACGCCTGCAGCGGGTTGGCCTGCAGGGAGGCCGGGGGAAGGGGTGATGGTTGGTGCCTCGAGGAGCCCCAGGCCATTGCAGGCCGCTGATTGGAACCAATCTTTCACCCTAAGCACCTTAGCAGCGAGCAGCTCCGCGTGGTGCTGCTCCCGGAGCATGGCATCGCCGAGCGCGATTGCCACGAGGCTCAAGGCCACAACCAGGCCGAGGAGGGTCCGTTGCAACATGGCTTCACTTCGGAGTCTGCGCCAATCTAGGGGAATACCGGGAAAGTGCAGGCCAGCAGTGCACAACTGCGGCATTTGAAGCAAGCGGGGTCGGGTGTGTCGGTGCCTGTGCGGTGCCCCAACCAGACGACTACGTCGTCCTGCAGAGGGCGGTCCCCGCACCCACACAGAGAGCCGCCGCACCTTGAACACTGTTCCACTTTCTGCAGACATTAGCAGCAGCCCAACTGCTCGTCAGCACCAGTCCGCAGAGCAGTGGTGCAGCACTCCCTGCTGCACTGCGCGGCGCTGGGAACCGGCGAGGATGGCAGGACCCCGCACATGGCGCTTGCCCCCAAGGAAGGCCGCGGTGCCCAACACCACTGAGGTCATCTCGAGGCTCCAGGCCGCCATGACAGGCGGGACACTGTTACGGAATGCTGCGAGCGGCGGAGACAGGCGCCGATCGTGGTACTCAACATACGTACACGCAGTCGTGCATCCCATGACGCCGATGTGCGCATGTGCAAGGCGGCCAGTTCAGACGAATGACAATGGCAGGTGCGCTCGCAGCGGTCACAGGGGAGCCGCGGTAGCAAGAGTGCAAGATTCAACACTGGTGCCGCTTGGCGTGTGCCTCACCCCGGGTGTGGAATAGCAAGTTCTCGTGCCTGTCTGTCCTACTACCTCGCAGATACACTAAGGTTCGATTGGCGAGCCAAACGAAAACCAACGCCGCAGGCCTGAGCATTAGACTGGTGATGGTGGCTGCACACGTTTATGACAGGTCTGGCGAGAGGCTGCTAGCAATCCAGGTGCGAGCCTTCTCAATGGCACGTGCGAGATTGCTGGAGTGGAGCGGATTTCAGAAAGGTCTCGCCCTACTTGTGGGTCCAGACAGGACATATGTTTCGGGCGACTCGGAGCCATTTCTTGCGGTTGGTGTTGATCAGGTCAGCATGCAGGTGGATGGGGTCACCAAATGTTGAGCCGACCTTGGACATGCGCATCCTCTCTGTAGTGCAAAATTCCTGCGTCGTGAGGACCTAAACCGCTTGCTCTTGCGCCAATTGTGACTCAAGCGTCGGCGGGCTCCGCAGGCGCGATCGCGCACTCGATGGGTTGTGTTGGGGAGTCACTGACAGCCCCTTTGATGTTGGTTTCATCTGAAGTGAACACGCGCAACAACAGGGAGCTTGCCCTTGGAGGGCTACCCCTGCATAAGCGCATACGCCTGCAAAAGTGACAAGGCATGCGTCTCTTGCGCACGGATGCCAGCTCGCCCTGTCCGCCCTAACATGGGACTGTGGCAGTGATGGAAGCCGCACCGGAGATTTCGGCGCACCGAATCGGGCTGTCAGCAGCCGTTTACTTAGACAAGCCAGAAAGAGCTTAGTATAGCAATTTTCTGGTCGATTTATCAGCGTAATTGGGTTGTGGAGTCAGCCAGCGCCCCGATCAGGCGAGCGGCACACCTACTGTACCTGCCCAGGTCAAGCACTTTGCTTCCCGCTTCCCGCCCTCCGATGTGAGGCAGCCAAGCTGAACAAGTGTACAATAAATTTGATCTATGATACGATGTGTCACGTCTGGCCAGAACACATACGAACGTTCAACCAGCCAGGCGACGCCCCCCTCGCTTCGCCAGCCCCGAGTCGCGAACACAAGGTCCTTGTCCTTGCCCGTGGAAAATCACACTTTGACTGACCGCACTGCTGAAACAAACGCAGCTTGTACATTTTCGATCTTTATCAACGTGTTCCCTTGTTGTCTTCCTCGCGCGCCATGTCCTTCGACGATGATGTCTGCCCGCTGTGTGCAGAGGCTCTTGATGCCACGGACAAGGCTTTCAAGTGCGTTGGATGGCAGGGCCGAGGTGCTGGTGCAGCACCAGCACACTGCTGCTCCAGAAGGGCCTCGCTGCGCGCACCAGGCCCGCCGGTGCAGCTCTGTGTCGCAAGGGAAATCATTCATCATTTATGCATAGACAAGGAGCTTGGTCGAAGCAGCGGGCGCCCATGCGTGGCTACGGTAGCACCTCTGACCCTCGCCCCCGCTACCCACGCAGCCCGTGCCCGTGTGGGTATGGCATGTGTCTGTGGTGCTTCAACACGCTGATGGAGTCTTCTCCCGCTCGGTGCCCGAACTGTCGGGCGGAGTATGACAAGGAGAACATCACAACGGGCCAGGTCGAGCCGGACGGGTGAGCACTGCAAGCAGCTAGGAAGCCGGCTGAGGTGCCGGCCGTGGCCTCTCAGTGCTGCAGCGCATTCTGCTGGGCACTCAACAGCTTGCGCTGCAACAGATGTAGCCACCAGTCTGCTGCTGCCGCTGCTGCGCTGCTGCTGCGTCTTGATCCCTGCGCTGCGGCGCCCCTGCAGGGCGCTGAGGGAGCAGCTTTCCTTCAAGAAGCAGCTTGGGAGGAAAGCAGGGGGCACGGCGGCGGCCAGGCTGCTGCCAAAAAACCTTGCGGTGGGCGGGCGAGTGTTGGGTGGGAACGGCTGCACAGCCGCTGCTGCGTGCGCATGCACATGGATAGAGCCGGCGGCAGGCGTTTTGAAAAAAAAACGGGCTGTTGTAGGAATCAAACCTGCATTGCAGCCCGGCTGACCTGTCATGTGTGCGTTTGTGCAATCCAGGGCTTTGCTGCTTCTGAACCGCTTCCGCGTCGCTGCCCGTGCCCCCTGTTGCGACCCGCAGCAAGTGCGGGTGGTGCAACGGAATCTGGTGTATGCGGTGGGCCTGCCGCTGCGGCTGTGTACAGAGGAGGTGCGGTGCGCGGCGACTCGACATTGTGCGAGCGTGCACCAGCAACCCCGCGCTGCAGTGCACAGCTTCAAGTGCACCGCTTGTCCCGGAAGGGGCGTGGGCTGCAGCCGTGCGCCGGCGAGCGTATTCGGGGCCGCCGTTGGATTCTGCATCGTTGCAAAGCCCCGATTCCGATGTCTGATGACAGAGGGGCGCCACAAAGCGCACATGCCAGGCATCGAACCTGCATTTGGTGCTGTTTTCACTCGTACACAGGCGCTGGCAGACAAAAGCTACTTTGGTGCCTACGGCCGGATCAAAAAGGTGCGTTCACCGGGGACTGGACGGGGTGGTTTTGAGACAGCCTGGCAGAGGAGGCGTCTGAGGAGGACGCGGACCAGGGGGAGTAACGCACAGCAGCCGGCCTCGCTCACGCGCGCGGCCGCTCGACCCGCGCCCGTGCCCTTCGCCCACGCCGCTGCGCAGATCTCCGTCAACCGCAGCACGCCAGTCAGCCAGGTGCAGCGCAACGGGCCAACGGGCAGCGCCTATGTCACGTATTGCCGGCCGGACGATGCGCTCCGGTGCATCGAGGCGGTGGACGGGCAGCTCTGGGACGGTGAGGCGCGCCTGGGCCGCGCGCGCGGGAGCTCGACGCACCGCCCATGATCGGCCGTGAGCACGGCTCGCATATACAAGCAGCTTGCCGGATCCCAGACGCCCCAGCCTGTCTACCTTGTGCGGCGCCCCCGCCCGCCCGCTGCCCGCAGCCAACCTCGGCTCGCGCTTGCGCCCCACTGTGGCCCGCGCAGGCAAGCTGATCAAGGCGTGCTTCGGGACCACGAAGTACTGCAACGCGTTCCTGAAGGGCGTGGTCTGCAGCAACACAGACTGCCTATACCTGCACGAACCAGGTGAGCCCCCGCCAGGCGCCGCCGCGGGCGCCTGCACCAGACTGCGCCGCGCCGGGCACCCGGGGCCGCGTGAAGCTGCGGCTCCGGCTCGCCCTGCATCGGCGATCCGCGTGCGTCGCGGGCTTGATGGCGCGGCTGGGACCAAAGCTTGTTTGTCGCGTGCCGCGCCCCCCGTTCGCGTCGCACTGCGCAGCGGAGGCGGCGGACTCTTTCTCGAAAGAGGACATGGTGGTCAACGGCATCGCCAGCGGCCGCAGCGCCTTCCACTCGCTGGTGCACCCCGGCGGCGGCGACGGCCCCAGCGGCGGTGCGGGGGTGTCCCCGGCGTCGTCGTGCGCGGACGGCGGCGCGGGGGAGTCGTCGTCGCCGTCCAGCAGCAGCAGCAGCTGCAGCGAGGGCGGCGGCGGCGGCGGCGGGAGCGGCGCGACGTCGGGCGCGGTGTTGGTGGGCGGCGTGCGGCGGGCGGGGAGCGGGCAGTCGCCGTGGGGGCCGGACGGTGGGCTGTCCGCGTCGCCAGGGCGCGCGGGGCTGGCCGGCGGCGGCGGCTGGGCGCAGGTCGGCGCCGCGGCGACCCCGCAG